GCAATGGAAATCAATAGTAGAATCTCCGGTGTTCCGCCAGCTGTTCCTGTCTCATCATCAAAACTCGCATTCTTCGTGGTCGCTCATCTACAAGCATGGTCCGGTAGAAGTCGTGGCTCACTACGGATGTGCGATATGGGGACTTACACGATCTCTAGGTTCTTACTTGTCGTCTTTCCTATCCAAAACAATCGAAACACACAATGAAAAGGTCAGAGTGCTTCTTTGCATTTTTTTTTTCCTTTTCTAAAAAAAATACTGTACAACGGATATATACGGCTAGAACGGGACAAATTGAATATACTGTAACATGAATTATGCCGACCCCAATAAAAGCAAATCTAAATCCGGTCGTAAGTGTAAAATTGTCATAAAATAATAGGCAAGTGTAAGTTTAAAATTGTTATAAAATAAAATTAGTCTATTTATTTTCATTTTCAATTTCACACAATAACAAGTAAGTTTCAAATCACACGAGTAACATAATTACATATAATTATATCAAAATATTTTATATTGTTATTGTATGTACTCATGATAGTAAGGAAAAATTAGGATATTAGATATATAAATAATCAGATTTATACGTGAAAATGTATAACTTGATATTTCGAGTCAAAATGAATTTTAGCCATTAATATTATAACTACATAGATCTAATTTTATTAATAACATAATAACAAACAAAAATATAAACATAAATTAGTAACAAAAACAATCAATATAATGTTTTCTAACAATTTTCAAAACAAAATGATGTGTGAATAGAGGGACATTCCCGAGAAACTAAGAAGGTGGTGTAAGAAGGTAACGTAGCTCAGTTTGTTAAAACGTTGGTCGTATGAGCCGAAGTTCGGGGGTTTGAGTCCTGCTAAGACCAATATTGTAAAGATTGATTTGTATTCATCCCAAGCCACTCTTTTTGTGAATCTCATCCTTTATTTTGATTAGTCTCTCGAATCTCCTCAATCTGGGCCTAAACTAATTAAAAAATCACAAATATGCCCACCTTGAATTTGAAAAGAAAAAAAAAGATCAAAGAAATGCTTGTTTAATAGTGACACATGGTAGAGTGGTAAGTGTATTATGTTATTCAAGAAAATATGTAACATCATGGTAACATGTAGAGTGTTTTGTCTACGTATCTTACAAACGTTTACCAAGCCAAACGTATCTTACATGATTTTGACTTATTTATTTCACTAGAAAGTGGCATTAATTATGAGATGTTTCAAACTGCCCAATGTTCCTTGTTTTAACAGACATTTTAAGTTTTATGATCAAATCATATTTCCTTAACTTGGTGCGCCAATATTTATTTCACGTGATCTTGTCTCTCATAAATTTCCCTATCAGTATGTTACGTTACTTGGAATGTAAGTAACACTTAATTGCAGTCTTAGAGTTCACAAAGTTTACAGATGGTTTGTTGTTATAGTTAAAGAAAAACTTGAAGAATCTGCATATGCACTACCGAAAAAGCCTTTAAGCGGCATCTCTCCCTAAAAAGAGTTTGCCCTAGCCGTCAAGACAAAGTTCCACCGAAGGTTTCTCTTTTGCTTTCAGATCTTAATCGGCGGTAAGTTTGGGTCACTAGGTGATGCGGCGGTAGGCTTCTTCTCTTCTCCGGCGGCGTTGGGTGTGGTAGATCTGGTCTCGATGCATCTTGGTGGCTTTCTCCACGACGCTCTGAGTGGTTGCTCCTTCATGGCTCCGTTCTTGCTGGCACGAGGACACTGGCAGGAGTTTGGAGTGACCTCTCGCGGCTCGGCGGCTGGTGGTTTGGCTCTGAGATGCGGCGGAAGTCGGGATCTAGATCGGTGGGATTGTTGCTTGTGAAGGGATTAACTGTGGATCTCGGCGGATCCTAGATGGCTAGTCATGGAGATCGGTGGCTGACGGTTTGTTTGAGCCAACGGCCGTCCTCCGCCGCTGTGATTTGGCGTTCCCTTCACCGGATTGAAGTTTAGCTAGCCTAGGAGGGTTCATTGGTGGATATTATCAGAGAGGAGGGTTCGATGTCGAGTTCTCTCGCCTTGCTAGGTCGGGGAGGCGAGAGATCGGGTCTCGGAGGTCGCTCTAATCTATTCCCGGAGAAAAGCTCCGGGTAACGGCGGGATGTGGCTTCAGCGTGCGGCGGGAACTGCTAACTCCGGTCAAGGGCTCGAGGTCGTCTTCCTCGATACAATGGAGTAGGTCTTGTTAGCAACGGGGATGGTAGATTAGATTAGCGTTTCCGGTGTACCGCCCGTTTTCAGATCTCTTTTCCGGTAATGTTCCGATTTGGGCTTTCCTTTTTGTACATGTATCTACCTTTTGGCCCAATGGCCCATAAGCCCTTTTGGGATGAATAAAAAGTTACTATTTAAAAAAAAAAAAAAAAAAAAAAAAAAACCTTGAATGTGATCAATGTACATAAAACGACTCATACATTAAAGTATGATGTACGTAAAAAAAAAACCTATAAAAATAATAAGATCAATTTATTAGACTAATCACACGACATTATTGTCTACGAAAATAATTAAAACCCAAGAAAATAAAGAGGACAAAAAGAGGAAAATATGTCCTTATTCAGTGGCGGATCCAGAAATTAATTTTATCCGGGGCAAAAATATTATAAAAAAAAAATCCTAACAAACCTTCTAAGTTAGTTAAAGCATTTAATTACCTTTTTCAAGTTAACGAAAGTGATCTAATATTGCTTTATAAATGAAATATGGGCTTTTTAACAAAAAAAAATAAGAAACAAATTGGGCTTTTGTATGTATTTGTATGTTATTTACTTGTAATTTTAATATTATATAACAAAAATTGTGTGTCTAAATAGAAAACAAAGTAATAAGGGGCATTAAATAATATTTTAACAGGGGCATAATTAAAAACTCTCGTAAAATAACACTAACTTTGAAAATTTTACCCGTGGCAAGTGCCCCTCCCCATCATCACGTACGTCCGCCCCTGTCCTTATTTTCATCGACTAGTTTCATTCTCTTCTTTTGTGTCTATGATTGATATACCTTGCTGGATTGGAACCAGACTTGGAACATAATCGACAACCATTGGGTGCCATGTTTTGCTTGTAGACTCTACAAAAGGGAATTCTGTGTAACATCCGTGGTCCTCTCCAATAATGTATATCATCGGCTCCCTGAAGGTCTCATCAGCATTTGCATTACAAAACACGACCACTTTCTTCTTCTCGTCGATAAAAAAGGTCACGCTAAACGGAAAACAAGTACCGTGAATGCTTAAGTCCACCGTGAAGGATTTCCTCCACAACACTAGAGCTTCAGTATAAATTTTACTGGTCACCCATATGTCAATCTTTGGTGAATCAAATATCCAAAATAACACTGAGAGTTGTTCTTCTCTAACAACGGATAGTTCCATAAAACCAGGGCTCTGGAATGGCAGAAGACCCAGACGTCTATATACCTCCGTTGTAAAATCGAAACTAAGTAAGAATATAGACCTGCTTATTTTATCTAAAGAAAGCATAAAAGTATTTCCCTTCAAAGACGCGCCATTTTGTAGTGTGAAGCAGTCTTGGAGAGTGACGTCATCAAGAACCCTCCATGAATCAGAGCTAAGATCGTAGATTTCAGATCCAGCAGGTCCCTCGTTTGGGTCGTCCTTTTCACCATACATCAATATTTTGTAGCTATGGCAAGATTTTTTGCTTTCGTAACCTAGAGCAAACTTAGACAAGTATCTCATGTAACCAGTTTTGAGTTGTATCCATCTGGTTTCCCTCAAACAAGGATTCCAAACCATGAGTCTATGGTTCTTGGTGGTGCATAACAACAAACCGCCGCAGTGAAAAACTTGGATTATATCGACTTGTTGGGAATTAGGGCAGGAATCCTTTAGGCCAAGTGGACCCTTAAACTCTATAGTTGGAGGGACAACGTTGAGATTGACGCTCATTAAAGAAACTTTGAATTCCTTCAATATGACAACAAGACACTGCTTTGCAGCTTGACGAAAGTGCTTCTCGGTGAATCTTGGGTCTTTGTATAAAGCATTCCATTGTTTGCAAGTAGATCTTAACCGTCTCAGAGATGCGGCCTGAAGCCTGGAGAGTATTTCTTCTACCACATCCGGCGGTAGATAAGGCATCTCCCAGGGAAGTAGAATTCTGATTCCGGCTTGTAGGTAGAAACCCTATAGGGTTTTGAGTTTTTTTAACTTTTTTCCATCGAGCAATCTTTGTCTTATATATATCGTGAGTCACAAGAAAACGATTTCACTAGCTACTTTTACTTTTTTTTTTTTTTTTCCAATTTACTCTGTAAAAAAAAAAAAGGAAGCTAAGCATATTCTGTATATATATATAGTAGTCGTAGCAGAGTTGAGAGCGCTTGAGCAATACTAGAAAGAACCAATACCAATTTTCTAATCGAAGTTCTTTTGATCTAATGCTGGAGTACTTGAGTAAAATTAAAAGCGTATGGTGGTAAGTTAACCTAATGCATTATGCATGAATATGTGACAAAAAATTACAATCCCTAACATAACACAACAAAACCTCATTCTGTGTTAAAACCTGCCTGTAAGCAACCTAACGAACCTGTATCCTTCCAACATTCAATAACAAAAACATAATTTCATCCTCTGTCCTTGTATGTAACTTAATGAGTATGCATGAATATATGAATGATTCGATGAAAAGAGAACATCAAAAGAGAGTAGGACAAAATCAACCACCAAGATATTTGCCAACACAATAACAAAGTTCTCAACTAGAAAAAGTAAAAACATAAGAGGGGGTGGCGAGAGAAAAGTCTTCACAATCCATCATTACCAAACGAGTAATCATAATAAAACACGAACAAAAATAAGATAGTGAGAGTAGTAACCATAGTGAAAGAGGCTAGTAGTCTTGGTGAAGCTTAAAGCTTGTCTTCGAACTCAGATAGTGGAGCCATCTGTTCCTTCAAACCCTTCCTCTTCCTGATATCAGCCACCAGAAAAGAAAAAAAACTTTGCCAATCCAAAGAGACACATACTTTTTATACCAAGCACGAGTTTGACTTATAGTAGACAAACAAGATTCAAAATCATCAACCTTTCCTGATATCTTTTCGACTGGCAGTTCAAAATAAAACAACTCAATCTTGCACTCTAATGATATTCAGTCCCGGAGTTGTACTACTGTGAAAAGAGACGCACCATTGTTAGCACGTGCAATCATCTCGCCATAGCTAGCTTGGCTACAGATGTCGTTTGGATATCACCACTTGAACTCATCCCCGCTGCTGCTAGCCTTGTCCTGCCACAACATTAAATGGGTGGTTTCATATTACTGATCGTTTAGTCGATGTTTAATAGAGAATGAGCAAGATGAGGCTCAAAGGAACCTACTTCTTTCCCTAATCTCTGATGTCATCTATCAGTCCAGCAAGCTACATGTTGTTACAGGAAGTAAAGAGTTTCCCTTGTAGATCCTAGAAGCAAACATAAATCTGGTCATAAAAAAAAAACATCATGTTCCAAAGGTGACAATTTAATGGTCAAATTTGCAACACGGAGTAACATATTCCAAAGTTGCATATTAAGATAATTTGTTTTATGAACGATTTTCACAACTGAAACAAGCATGAAAGTTAACCTGAGTAATAATGGTCAAGTTGGATATCCACATGCAGCAATATATCATCTGAAAAATTAATGTCTCTTTGAATTATCCACTGTGACAATTCCAGTTTTGCCTAGTGCTATATCCTCTGTTTCACACTGATGTACATTCTGTCTCTTCATTATTCTACTCCAACACACACACACACAAAAAAAAAAAAAAACGATAAGACAGAGAAAAACAAACGATAAGACAGAGAAAAACAAAGAGCATATGTATGTAGATACTTTAGAAAGTCTTACTTTTTTGCTAAACCACAACAAATAACTCATCTGAAAGTAGCAGAGCATGGTTTTCAATGAAATGGGTATCAGGATACCACTGAATTAATTAACAAGATGGAATCAAAAATATCTATGCAATAGTACCTTTGTAACAAGTTCTTACATCCCATAGTATAAGGCAAGAATCATCACCAACACTGCAGAATTCTTGTGCGCTTCACAAAATAAAAGTTCACCGGAAGCATCATCAGAGAAGCATGAAAAATTATGCATTTTGCATGAAGAAACACAAGGTCAAAAGGAGGAGCCTGTTCTTAGAAGTTACCTGGCCGGGGTGAGTACACATCGTCTATTTTTTTGATGATGGATCCCGAAGATTTGGAATCTGTACCAACCGTTATGATGTGGTCCTGGATACTCCACAAAACAACTGACTTGTCCTTGAATAAGAGAAGAACCTTTACATGAGAAACCACATGACCGGGACACTACAAATCACAGAAACACAAACCTCCCGAGAGTACAAAGGGTCCGGTTGGGCAGATTGCAAGGGAATATTCAGCATTATCTTGGTGTCCAAATTAGTATCTGCAAGAAAAGTGGTTTAGATGATGCAAGCAAAGTAGAGCACTATATAAAAAGATATCAAAGAGAAATATCATCACTTCCAATGATGAGAGATTGAGACAAACAGGATTGAAACAGAAGGGAAAGATTTGCAACAACATTTCTCAAGAGTGGACATACCAGATCCGGAAGGGAATTTGCAGCTCCAACCACAGCATGACGGTTTGGTTGGGTTTCTACATCCAAATGAGAACCTGGAGTCACCAGATAAGTAATTCAGATAAATGAAACTGGAAATACGTCCAAGAAAAAGAATGCTCTTTGACTGCCAGATAAAGAGATATGAAAATAAAATTATGACCATAAACGAAATAGAAGAAGCTGCGCTTATATTAGGACTGTCCGTGTGAGTAGCAACAATCATACCATTTTGTGGGACTTCCCTGAATCTGTTAACATGACAGAATAATATATACAACAACATCTATCGTCTCTTTCACACCCATGTTCATTGTGTCTTTTGATTATTCTTCATTTAACACAAACAAAGATAAAGACAATCCACAGAACCAACAAAAACAAAGAGCATATACAAAAAACAACTAATCTCCATAACATTTTAATTCATCTGAAAACAACAAACTCTGCAGCAGAGCGTGGTATTCAATGAAATGGGAAAATAACGAACCAACTTACACTGAAGTTCAGATCTTAACATCTTACCTGCACCCAGTAACAAAACATTAAGAAGAAGAACAGAGAAATCTGATAACCTTTTATGAAGATCTTGACATAAGATTACTGCTCCCTGAAGAATTTAGACTTAAGAGAGAGAAAGAGACTGCAAGTCTCACACCAAATTCAACGGACAGAGACTGATGCTTGTGGAATGGCGACACATGGAAGAGTAGTAAGTGTATTATTATCTTGAAGAACATATGTAACAACATCATGGTAACTAACATATAGAGTGGTTTGTTGCATATCTCACAAATGTTATAAAAAAGAAAAGAAAAAGAAAGCACTAATAATATTCACAACACTTACTCTTTTTGGGAAAAAAAAAAGAAAGAAAGAAAGAAAAGAGAGCACGTCCATTCCATGCCAAGTGTAATGTCTGTATGCATGTAATCTTTGAAACATCTGTCATCTTCTAGTTAGCTTCAATCTACAATGAAATAAACAATCAGTACATATGACTAGAAACAGTTACAATATTCAAAAAAATAAAAAAAGAAAGCTTACACCATACCATCGTTGTCTCAAGAGATCGCATTCAATGACAACATGGATCCCCGAAGGATTGCTTGAAAACACCAACCGATTGGCTGTGATAAACGAAGACAGCCTTAGAAACAGTGGAGGATTGATGATTTTTGCCTTTCGGAGAATCTTCTGTATGACATAGTTTCCGAATTTGTTGATGATGAGCTGAGATAGCTGTGGAGAGCTATCAATCTCATTCATGACCAGCTGAGAAATGTCGGGATTACCATTGTCAATCAACCATTGAACAACGTGGTAGGAGTTCATGTTAAAAGACATGGCAACGAATTTCCCGGCCATATTTGCGAAGAATGAATTGGTTAGATCGTCACTGTGGTCATTGAGTAATGACTGAACCAAGAAATTCCTGAAAAGAAGTAGAGAAAGTGATAGGCAAAACAGAACAAAAAAAGGAGTAAGCCTAACCAAAGCATCTATAGTTCTTCTTACCCAATTCTGTCCGTAGAGAGAACAGCTGCATTGGCTCCAAGTGTCTGAACCAAGGCATCTCTTCCAATGCCGAGTCGGATCAAGCTTATGAGATTATGGTAACCACATGGATCTTTAGCAAGATCAAGGACACATTCAAGCGCCGAAAGTTGCAGCGGCTGAAAGTTGGGAGCACCAACAGATTCCACTAGATGTCTGAGAAGATACTCCACTGCTCTGGGATCAGACAGCAAGAGTTGTTTGAAAACAAGAGCAAGTCTGGTTACCAGCTCCTGCTTTTGAATATCACATGAATCCAGTCCAAGGATGAAGAACAAGGAGCTACACCTAAATATAGCAATTCACGTTAGGATTATCATACATGAACCTTCCTCAACCGTTTCTATGTCAAACCGAAACCCTAGGTGCGAAGCCTAGAGGCTAGAAGAGAACCACAAAACCTTACCCTGTCTTATCGAGGCAAATCTTCGTCAATTGCTCCGGTCCTTTGGTCAGCAAGTCGAGTAGGAGAAATCTCTGCCACATGAAGCTCTTCTCCGCCAATTTCTTCAAGCAAATCGAGCAGGTTTCGTCCGTCGCGAGTTGATGGACAAAGTGGACGCATTCGAAAAAGGCGGCATCGACCTCGCTAACATCACCGACTTGAATTCGCTCACAGAAAAATCCAATCTCCTTTGGATTGAGAGCAATGCTCGCAATGTAGCCACTGTAATCTGTCAATTTCGATTTCGCCATTAGAGAGCTTGCTTCAGATGAGCGGGAAGCGGGAAAGAAAGAGTGAAACAATAATACATATGAGTATATATAGACATAAGGTCGATGAATACTAACCAATTTTCTTGTCATTTCGGTAAAAAAAAAACGCGCCAAGTGAACTACTGGAGGAATCGAGTGAATGGAATGAAGAATCGAGTCCACGACTCAAGGAAGAGATGAAGAAGAGAGAAACACAGAAGAAAAAAGTGTGTTTTCTTTTCCTTTTTTTTTTGGTTAAATGTTTTAAATTTTAAATTTTAAAATATTGAGTAATAAATACAAGAGACCTCCTTCCGTTACTACATAACAATAACAAAAATGATTTATTTGCCAGGCCCAATTTTACAACTAAAGCCTTTTTTTGTCTTTCTTTTTACTCCCCTCTGCATATGCGTGCCTATTATTTATTTTGAAAATGATTTACACTAACTTATTTGTGTAAATCCCATTTTAAATTTTGATTTATTTTCGGTTTGCCCTGGTCCAAAACTACAAAAAGTTCATTGTCAATTGGTTTAACTAAATTTCAATTTGTTTTGATTTGGTATCCGGTTTTCATATTATAAAAAAATAACTCTATAATTATAACTATATATTGATCTAGCCTTTTGAAACTGTAATTTCTCCATCGATTATTTATCACTTTTACTATCAAAACCCGAAAAAAAAGGAGAAAAACCCAAAAACCCGCCATTTATTTTTATTTTGAACGTTTAATACCTGTAATTTTTTAATTGCAATAAAATACCTCGTTTATTTAATATTGTCTTTATAAATACTATGTCGAAATCCGCGCTACTCTGCATGTATTTTTTTGAAAGTTATTTTATTTGAACAATCAAAACCAAAGCAATATTATTACATCAAAAAATTAAAAGAAAAAAGGATTAAAATAAACAGGATCTGGTAACAACAAATTAAAAAATAAAAGAGGGTATGTTTATAATAAACAGTATAATTACAATCGAATTTTCTCCCCAGATTTTGAAGGGTAAAACCGTCTCTTCGCATCAAAATAAATGCCTATTTCTATAATCACGGACAGAAATACTTAAATAAACAATACTCCTCAGAATAAATGCCTTATTATGTAAACTAGGTGATTGCCCGCGCAAATGCGCGGGAATAATGCTGTGTGAATGGTAAAATCATGTGAGATAAGGGATTGTTTAGGTGTTAGTGTAAGAAAATATGATAAATTGTTTAGGGTTTAGTGTAATAAAATATGGTAAATGTTGAAATTAAAAAATTCAATAATATTATAAATGCTAAGAAAATAATAATAAATCATCTTCTAAACAAAATTGCAAGAAAATAAGAAATCAACGAACATCATCACTCCATGGCATTCTCTTTGCGTGTGACGATATGTACTTGGTCGTTTTCAGGATTCATGACATCCGATTTAGAACACCAGAAACAGTTAATGTTCAGTCGCCAACTTTAGAGTTTTGATTGTGAACGGAAAAAAAACCAAAAAATAATTACCAACAAAGCATCTCGTCGGTAATATTGACTATTTATTGTCAAACTCATCAATCTGCAAATGATTTCTACGTTTATCAAGTTCTCTTTCATCGGATTGTAGAAAACCGTCAATTTTGTATCTCTTGTTTTGTTATCATGGTTATAGCCACACTCATCAATGAGAAAATAATTTTTACATTTATCAAGGGCTCTTTTATAACGTTGCAGAAACACATCAATTTTTTTTTTTTTATCATGATTATAGCCAAACTCATCAATCTGCAAATGATATTTACGGTTTTTAAGGGTATTTTTATAACGATGCAGAAAACCGTAAATTTTACCCATTTTTCCGTTATAATGGTTATAGCAAAACTCTTCAATTAGAAAATAATTTATACATTTATCAAGAGCTCTTTCATCAGACAGGAGAAAACCGTCAATTTTCATCTCTTTTCTTTGTGTTATCCTGGTTATAGCCAAACTCATCATCAACAAATGATTTCTACGTTTATCAAGAGCTTTTTCATGAGACTGCATAAAACCATCATTTTTGCTCTTCTTGTTTTTTTCACATCGTTATAAACTCATAAATCAGAAAATAATTTTTACGTTTATCAACAGGTGTTTCATTAGGCTGTAAAAAAAACTGTTAGTTTCGCTCGTTTTTTTGTTATCATGGTTATAGCCTATCTCATCAAGCAGCAAACGATTTCTATGTTTATCAAGAGCTCTTTCATCATGCTGTAGAAACTTACCAATTTTGCTCATTTTTTTGTTATAATTGTTATAGCAAAACTTTTCAATCAGATCGTTTGTCAATAGTTTTTTCGTGAGCTTGTAGAAAACCGTCCATTTTGCTCCTTTTTCGTTATCATTGTTATAGCCAAACTCATCAATCATCAAACGATTTCTAGGTTTATAAATATCTCTTTCATTAGACTGTAGAAAGCCGTCAATTTTGGTTCTCTTGTTTTGTTTTCATGGTTATAGCCAATCACATCAATGAGCAAATAATTTCTATGTTTATCAAGTTCTTTTTCATGAGCTTGCAGAAAACCGTCAATTTTGTTCATTATTTTTCGTTATTATAGTTATAGTCAAACTCATCAATCTGCAAATGATTTCTATGTTTATCAAGTTCTCTTTCATCGGATTGCGGAAAGCCGTCAATTTTGTATCTCTTGTTTTGTTATCATGGTTATAGCCACATTCATCAATGAGCAAATAAATTTTACGTTTATCAAGGGCTCTTTCATTACGTTGCAGAAACCCATCAACTTTTTATTTTTTAATCATGGTTATAGTCAAACTCATCAATCAGCAAATGATATTTATGGTTATCAAGGGCATTTTTACAAAGTTGCAGAAAACTGTCAATTTTACCTATTTTCCGTTATAATGGTTATAGCAAAACTCTTCAATTAGCAAATAATTTATACATTTATCAAGAGCTCTTTCATCAAATAGGAGAAAACCCTCAATTTTGCTCCCTTGTTTTTTTGTTATCCAGGTTATAATCAAACTCACCATCAACAAATGATTTCTACGTTTATCAAGAGCTTTTTCATGAGGCTGCTTAAAACCTTCATTTTTGCTCCTTGTTTTTTTTTTTATCATGGTTATAAACTCATAAATCAGAAAATAATTTCTACGTTTATCAATAGGTGCTTCATTAGGCTGTAAAAAAACCGTTAGTTTCGATCATTTTTTTGTTATTATGGTGATAGCCTATCTCATCAAGCAACAAATGATTTCTACGTTTATCAAGAGCTCTTTCATCATTCTGTAAAAACTTATCAATTTTGCTCATTTTCCGTTATAATGGTTATAGCAAAACTTTTCAATCAGCAAACGATTTCTACGTTTATCAAGAGCTCTTTCATGAGACTACATAAAACCGTCAAATCTTCTCCTCTTTTTTTTTGTTATCATGGTTATAGCCAAACTCATCATCAGTAAATGATTTCTACGTTTGTCAATAGTTTTTTTCGTGAGCCTGTAGAAAACCGTCAATTTTGCTCCTTTTTCGTTATCATTGTTATAGCCAAACTCATCAATCAGCAAACGATTTCTAGGTTTATCAAGATCTCTTTCATTAGACTATAGAAAGCTGTCAATTCTGGTTCTCTTGTTTTGTTATCATGGTTATAGCCAAACACATCAATGAGCAAATAATTTCTACGTTTATCAAGTTCTTTTTCATGAGCTTGTAGAAAACCGTCAATTTTGTTCATTATTTTTCGTTATTATAGTTATAGTCAAACTCATCAATCTGCAAATGATTTCTATGTTTATCAAGTTCTCTTTCATCGGATTGCAGAAAGCCATCAATTTTGTCTCTCCTGTTTTGTTATCATGGTTATAGCAGCACTCATCAATGAACAAATAATTTTTACGTTTATCAAGGGCTCTTTCATTACGTTGCAGAAACCCATCAACCCTTTTTTTTTATCATGGTTATAGCCAAACTCATCATAAGTAAATGATTTCTACGATTGTCAATAGTTTTTTCGCGAGCCTGTAGAAAACCGTCAATTTTGCTCCTTTTTCGTTATCATTGTTATAGCCAAAATCATCAATCATCAAACGATTTCTACGTTTATAAAGGTCTTTTCATTAGACTATAGAAAGTCGTCAATTCTGGTTCTCTTGTTTTGTTATCATGGTTATAGCCAAACACATCAATGAGCAAATAATTTCTACGTTTATCAAGTTCTTTTTATGAACTTGCAGAAAATCGTCAATTTTGTTCATTGTTTTCGTTATTATATTTATAGTCAAACTCATCAATCTGCAAATGATTTCTATTATTGTCAAGTTCTCTTTCATCGGATTACAGAAAGCCGTCAATTTTGTCTCTCTTGTTTTGTTATCATGGTTATAGCCACACTCATCAGTGAGCAAATAATATTTACGTTTATCAAGGGCTCCTTCATTACGTTAAAGAAACCCATCAACATATTTTTTTTATCATGGTTATAACCAAAGTCATCAATCAGCAAATGATATTTACGGTTATCAAGGGTATTTTTATAAAGTTGTAGAACTGTCAATTTTACCCATTTTCCGTTATAATGGTTATAGCAAAACTCTTCATTTAACAAATAATTTATACATTTATCAAGAGCTCTTTCATCAAATAGGAGAAAACCGTCAATTTTGCTCTCTTGTTTTTTGTTATCCAGGTTATAGCCAAACTCACCATCAACAAATGATTTCTACGTTTATCAAGAGCTTTTTCATGAGGCTGCATAAAACCTTCATTTTTGCTCTTCTTGTTTTTTTATCATGGTTATAAACTCATAAATTAGAAAATAATTTCTACGTTTATCAATAGGTGCTTCATTAGGCTGTAAAAAAACCGTTAGTTTCGCTCATTTTTTTGTTATTATGGTTATAGCCTATCTCATCAAGCAGCAAATGATTTCTACGTTTATCAAGAGCTCTTTCATCATTTTGTAAAAACTTATCAGTTTTGCACTTTTGCTCATTTTCCTTTATAATGGTTATAGCAAAACTTTTCAATCAGCAAACGATTTCTACGTTTATC